CAATATGTAGCCTTACAGTTGCTCACCAGCAGTTGACATCTGAGTATAAAAATAAAATTCAGAACAGAAGCAGGCTGCAGCGTTGGAAGATAGGAATGGCTTCTGGCGCACATTGAAAGTTGAGGGTCCTGTACGATGCAGTCTATAAAAAGTGTTTTCTCTTTGTCTCCCTTTGTTTGTTCTCGCCTGGTCAAGATCCCTCAGAGAGTTGGGCTTCTATCTGCCAATGGAAACAATGCTTTCAGGGCTGACTTCATTAGATGGACGCCCAGGAGAAAAGCTTTTAAGGCTGCTTAAAAGGAAATGTGTCAAACTACCTGGCATCTGGTGTTTTACGTGTTCGTGTGGGCGGGGACGAGGGAAAGGTTGTCATGTTCAGTTTCATCAACCAAGGACTACATATCAGATAGCATGCACAGTGCAATCCAGGGCACTTTCAGAAGAAATTCAGGGAGCCAGGTAGAAGAATAAAGTAGGAGAAGAGAAAAAAGTTCAGTAAGAGACAGAATTTGCAGCTCCACCTGGACATGAGGAGTAAGATAATGTTTCTAATGCCTGCAAAACATGGACGATCCAGTGGTTTCCAATTTGAAGTGTTATACTTTAAAGTCCAACTTCAGCCATTTTCTACTGTTTTTCCAAGCTGTGATATAGTCACGAATCATCCATTAAATTAACCTTAACAATAATGCTCATCAGCAGTTCATCCACCTTAATAACTGAGCTAACTAGCTAACATCAACAGAAAAAAACTAAACAATCTCTTCATTGGGGGACTTTAACAAATTAGCATAGATACAAGTGTGTGTCACTATAAAGAATACAAAGTTGTGTTTTTGTAGAGTTGACATCCAGGCCTGGAAGTTGATTCATTTTGACCACCTTTGAGACATCAGATTGTTGCAGGTTTGGGGAATAACGAGAAACTTTTAGCTTTTACTGTAGTTGCTATGATTCCATTGTACCAACCATGTAAAAAAAACAAAAATGTAATAAGTAAGATACCATAAATAACTAAAATAAATGTTCAAGTATTCGAGTATTTGATGAATGTCCTGGTTATCAATATTGTCTGGAAAGTAGTTGCTGCGACTTGAGGGCGGTGGAAACATTCTGTTATGTGAAAGGATACATTAAAACCTTTTACGTGATATGGCCAATCTGCCAGTGGTGATCGATTTTTCATGTCTAGCATGTCTAGTTAAATTGTGTCTGCTCAATGTAATTGATTTACGTATTACCTAGTCCTCTGTCTTGCTGCTGCAACACCTGAATTTCCCCTCTGGGGAGTATTATCTTATCTTATCTTATCTTATCTTTAAGAGATTTAAATTTTGCAAAAAACTACTTCCTGTCTCTGAGTGATGCTGATAAGAGTGTGGAAACAGAGCCAGAACAGTCAAGTCTAATGTAGTTATGAGCTGAGTGGAACCTAGGCAATCATTTGTAGAGAGTTTGTCACCATGGGAAAGCCTTTCACATACAGTACACATAGTGATTTGTTCCAATGTTGTCAAGCAATTAAGAAACTTTAAATATGTTAAAGAGTAAAATTGTAAGACAAGCATTTCTGTTTGTAATTTTAGTTGGGGGTAAGCAGCAGGTCCTCTTTGGACCACTAGGGGAGTAATAACCCCTCAAGAGAGAAGAAGGGAGAATCATAAACTCTTTAATAATAATAATCTCAAAGCCTAAAATGCACCAGAACTCTACCCCCTTCTCACACGGGGTTTCTGGCTTGTTTTAGAGATAGACTAACTGTCCAAACACACATGTTGCTAAACCCAATGTTAATTGTTGTGTGTGACAAGTTCACTGAAACATGAACATGATCCTTTCCCCTCAGTCCATATTCAGGAGACCAACCTCTGCCAAGTACAACATGCCTGTGTGCACAAACAGGGTTTGTCAGCAGAGTGGGATGAGACAGATGTGAGCCAGGTCTGGACAAATGTATTCTTTTTCTTCACAAGGGGAAGGCTTAGTGGAGTTGACTGCAGGGGATGGTTGTCCCACATCCCACCAGACTGGTTGGGGAGGGCAGAGGTGGAGAGAAACATGTTTTGGATGGAATAAAGGGGATAAGGAGAAGGGTTTTCAGAAGCAGATGTGACCCCCCTCTCCTCCGCCCTGCCTAAATAAGTCATGCTCCAGATCCTTTTATCTACACATGCTAACAGGTACTAGTGAGTTCCCAGAGGAGACAAGTCGAGAGAAATAGGTGAAGAAAAAAAAAGAGAAAGAGACAAAGAGAAAGAGCTGTGCCCATCACTGTTACAAAAGGCTTAAATGAGCTTTTCTCTAGCCATGGTGTAATTCTGATCAAACCCCGAAGCTCTGATTCCCTTTTTCTTATTCAGACTAACACGGAAAAGAGATAGTACAGGAAGGTGATGAAATTGATTAAAAAACAGGTTAAGCGGAGATGTCTGTGCAGATATTGAAACTATTATAAAAGATGGAGGGTGAGGAGAAGAAGCAAACTCAAGTCAGATATCAGAATTCTTAACCACAGCTTCACAGATTCCAGAGATTTGCAGAGTTTTATTTCCCTTGATCCAGCACAGTGAGCAGCATATGCTTTTTGACATGCAACCGTGCCCTTAGCAAAGATAAAAAAAAACCTGTAAGCTCCAAACACAAGACACTTAATGCCCTAAACAAAGACAGCAATGAAAATGCTAGCAAAATTCGCATAATTCATATTTGATCCAACTTAATCTCCCACTAACAAAATAACATTCTCGCACACGTACTGGATACACACACGCTTATGCACACTAACGCTATGAGAACAGGAGTGTGAAATGGATGCGGCCCCCCCACCACTGGTGCCACAAGCCCTAGCCAGCTGGCGGTGGTCCCGGCTCTTCCCCTCCACGCCAATGCCTCCCCAAAACCCTACACACTTTGATATCAGCCAGCCCCTGGCTACCCAGACATCTGGAAGTTATTATTCAACAGAGCACGCCACAAAAGCACCATTTCCATAAAGAAACATAGCATTTGTTTCAGCGCACTGCTTCCTGCTTTGCTGCATACATGTTTGTTACAACATGCAGTGCATTTCTGAACCATGTCCCCGTCTAACCCTTTTTATTGCTTGTCTTCAGTTTCGTGGCTCCTCAGGATCTTTTAATCACTCGCAACTTCTGAAAACTTAAGAAGGATAGCCAGTCATCATTTTCAAATACTGCTTTTTAATACTGAGTCTCAAACAAAGCTAACCAATGAATCATTCGAGGCAGTGTGAGCTACAGAAGTGTAAGAGTGAAGGCCAACCTATTCAGAGCCAGAACAACATACTCATGCTAACACCCACTCCCACTAATAGATCCTTTGTTGGCCTGTGTCCCAGTCCGCCTCTCTGTTTGTCTCTATGATTCTATGACTGACTTTGTGCCATCTCTTTTGCTTTCTGGCCATGTAAAGAAAACCCAGCTGAAAGCGATTTCTTTTTTGGTTTTGAATGAGTTCAAGTGCCACTTATCAGGGGTGATAATCAAATGTTTTATTTAATTTAATCTTTTGCTGCCATAAACATTGAGAGTTATCAGGTTTTTTTTTTTTGTTTACAGGTGATGAGAAACTCGAGACAGTACAGTTCAAAACAGTTCAGAAATGGCCTTTGAGAAAGATCCACAATGTCTATAATGTTTTCAAGACCTCTTGCACATATCTGACATTTGAGTGTTAGTGTGACTGTCTGGCTTGGCACTGCATAAAAGGGACCTCCTATGAAGAGGTTTAGCTGCCTTTTCGACTTGTGTAGCTGGGCTGCAAAAAGGTATACTTTGGCTACTTGTGGGCAGCAAAAACAAGCTGTAAAAAGACTGAAATGTTAAGTCCTTTTTAATTTAATATGGCTCATGTTACAAAAACCATTGCCTGTTGACACATACTAGCAAGTTGAAGTTTTGATCACGGTAACCAGATACTATTTATAAAAGTCCAAAATGATCTTCAAGCTCTGCTTTGTACTCCACTTGTGCCTGAAGTAGATCTCTCTCTTTATCTGCTGAATGTTCAACTTTCACCAGCTAGTTGCTAACATTGTCTTTTTGCTGGGGCTGGGGAGATAGTAAGTACATATTAGCATTTTTGAGCTATTTCCTTCATAATAGCTGCTGACGACAGCTGCCAAAAACAGTCAAAACAAGAATGCATTACAAGAGAATTGAGATTGAACAACTAAATAGTGAGCTGGAAAACAAAACCACTAACATATGAAGCTTTACCGTTAGGCTGAGGGGTTCTGCAGTTGGGTGATAAACCTGTTTGGGTTTATCACTTAAAGAAGCTTCTACATTACAATCAGTCAACTAAAACTACATTAAGTCTACCTCTATCTTTTGTCCTATTTACTAATTTAGTTCCAAAGACAGCTTTATGAAGATTATCAGGAAGAGCTGATTCTTGTCCATCATTATGTTTTCTAAGTAATGCATCTGTCTCAGCTAGGTGCAGTATGATTTCATCAGAGGCTTCCTGTACGAGATGTCTGAGATTGAACTAAATAGGCCTTTCATCATATGTGTCGATGTAACCTAGTCTGATTAACACTCATGCAGATATTGAGTCACAGATCTGACCTTGTGAGTTCTAAAATCTTAGGGACAGCTGAGCTCTGGCTGCACAGTCCTTGCTCGACCTTTGACAGCTTTAAGATAGAGGAGGAAGAGTCGAGGTCCCCCAGGGTATCCAAGGCACTGGATGTTTTCCAATAACAGCTTATGGCTGTGGGGAATTGTACTCTCCCCCAGTGGCAATGTGATTCTATCACTTTTAACCATGTGCTGCTGCTACTTTTTTTCTGCTCCACTCTCACTCTCTAAAACCCCTCAGAGTTTTGACCTGATTCTGGGCTGTCACTATCACCAGACCGCTGGAGAAAAAATTGATAGGGAAAAGAAACTCGATGAGCATGACTGAAATTTAAGCATGATATTTCAGTGTAAGTGTGTGTGTGTTTGCCCATGTGCAGTAAGTATAAGGCTTACCTCATTTTCATTTTGTGGAGGTGACGGTGGGTCTATTACTGCCAGTTGGACCACAGTCCCCCAGACCTGTGTGTGTGGACCGCTTGCTGTTAGTTTAAACTGGACTGGCTCGTCCAGGCTGGCTCCCTCTCCCTGGGCAAAGATGGAACCATCTGTCCGCACGCTGAAGTTAGGGTCACTGCTCTGGAAAACCACCGCTTGGTTCCCCATGCAGTCATCAAACTTCACTGTGGACAAGAAAATTGAGAATATTGTCATATATATATATATATATTCATCAAAGCAGTTCTAGTAAAAAAAAAACATTCACTTTTATACATTCACTCAGTACATCTGCATTGCACACAAACATAAGAATGAAAGTTACAGAGAGAGTATGAACTCAAAAGATTGCATCAGCGGCTACGTTTGACACTAAAGCGTTCTCGCCAACTGCTGCATGAGAAAATAAACTGTAAAGGTATCGCGTGGTGTCTTGTAGAAGGGGTGAAACACCGGTCTTCCTAGAACTTGCATCTGAATTTGTTTTTGAAGCAGACCATGCGGTAAGTCTAGTAATTAGCTGAAGATCATGTCATAATATAAACAAACCTTTTTTTAGAAAAAGGTTCAACTTTTAAAAGAAAGTCCAAAGTCTCAAAGGGGGAAACAGAACGAGAAATACAGGCAGTTATCTGCACATTCGCATCCATAAAAGTTTAAAGTGTACTGTTCTGTCAGGAAATATTGATTCCAGTTTTGTGGTATTCAAAAAGCACAAGGCTTTTGTATTTCCTGACTGTCAAACACTATGCTTTTAGCTTCTAATCTGAAGGCCAAATCGCTCAAATTCCACTTTTTCTGTAGTTATCTCTGGCAGCTAGACTCAGATCCTCGCCATGAGGTCATGTGCTTTCACTATGATTGCAACACAGGGTTGACCCTTCTGCTCTTTCTACAATTTGTGTCTGTGATGAGACAAACTGGAGACATATATGAAAACCAGAGGCACCAAATGTAGTGGTTTGAACGCAACATTGTGCTGCAAAACATTTTAAGGGCATTGACTTGAGTAGGGTTCAATAGATTTCTTGACTCCAAAAGAGGGCAATGTTGATTATGTTTTCAACCATTTACTGCAGATCACTGGATGTGTCTGAACTCATAGAGGTGAACTCGAGCAGTCTGTCATATATGAGAGCAGTCAAACATCGCTTTACGCTCGTTGAAGCTTTGCACCGTAATGCATGATGTTATATATTGTTTGGATAGTAAATGCGGTTGCACACTTGTTTTCACAATGCATTTTGGGATATGATGGCATTTTATCAAATTTTTGACCAATCTGGGAAAATTCATAAAGGTGTCTTAATACACGTATAAAAAGATTTAAATTCAACTCCTGTAGGAAAACCTCCTGTAGAGGTTAACATTTTTCATTTTTCACCAATAAGGTTCCAGGTACCCCAACCTTCCCCACAGGAGTTGAATTTAAATCTTTTCATGTATGTTCTAAGACAAAAGTTTGTGCAGAAATGTCTTGTCAGATTTGTTGCAATATTCCCTTACTGCCCATGTAGGGTATGACACTACTACAAATTCGGACAATGCTACAAAATGGTAAATTCCTAATATAGTGCACTATATTGTGAGGATTGTGTGATTCCAGACAAAGCAAGTAACTTTAAGTTACTGCTATGCATTTCCTAAAGCTTTTTTTTCACACATCCATTGTTTCTATCACAGTTTACACAGTAAATATGCCTGAGGAAAACAAACAGATGCTTGAGATAGAGATCATTTCTGCTGTAAAAGGCTTGTTGCAACTGAGTGGCACTGAATTTAAAGATGATTTATGCTTCTTCCACATTCAACAATTGTCTTCCTTTTCTGCGCATACATTTTTGTGTGAGTTTTAATCTTTTTTTATGAATGATGCCAAACACACAACAACTGTTTGGCATAAACACAGTCATGATAATCCATTCACTGTTATCAACGTCTCTGCAGGGAACTGTTTCACAAACTTACAAGGCATGGCGTTTTCCCACCAGTGCATATGAAGATGAATTCATTCCAAGCCTTTTTTACGTGTGAGGCTCAAAACAGTGTTTATAGAAATTACACAAAAAGATATCGCAATGAGGAATCATCAGCAATGAATAATCATTTAATTATTATTTTTTTAAGTGTGTGCATCTCTTCTTGTGAGTGTCACAGATTAATATGTACATATTCATATCTATACATTATTTACTACAAACATCATCATGAACAGAGAGAAACAGTCAAAAGAAAGTCAAGCCAGAAAAGAAAATCTCTGGATTTTTTTCTCTCTCTAGTGCACACGTGAAATCCTTTCCATTTCACGTTAGAATGGTACTATGTAGCAGCAGGTCAGTATGGAGCTTACTGATTTGTCAGGGAAGTCCTGTGATTGATCTCTTCTGAAACTGAGTTCATGAGACGATGAGAAGATGAGTCACAGACAAGTGTAGCCTTCACTGGCCTTCCGTCCTCATCTCCTTCCTCCCTTGCGGCATCAACAGCCCTCCCTCTCTGGGATTACAATGTCTAGACGGCATATCATAAGAAAAGCGGAGCTAAAGGTCTTAACTTACTGCTGTAACTTCTCTTTCTCTCTTCCCACGTCTCTACAGCCGTCGAAACAAGGTTTCCATTACGGAAAGTATAAACTGCAAGTAAATCAGACTTTTGGATACAATTGGCAAGTATGCCTGTCATCATGTCAGCGACCATCTCTGTGAGGCCAGATGTCCAGACAGTCACTCAGTGCTCAGTCAGAGGGGACAGCACTTTAACAACTGTCCTCTGAGTACAGCATTTGCTGCAGGAGTGTCCCAGTCTAGACAGGAGGAGACAGGACATAAAGGATGGACTACATCAACCCAAAAGAGTCGAAAAGCCTCTGCTTCATTCATCAGGTTGTTCCTGTCTTTGTGTAGCTGAACGTTAACACCCAAAACAAACCCCCCTGAAATAAACATGTTTGCTTTTTCATGTTTGCTTCATTCTCTTGCCTTTTTTTTTTGTAAAATTCCTATCTCATTTCTTTTACCATTATTTCAAATATTTTCAAAGATTAGATTTGGAAGGGGTGGGGGGGGGGAAATAACAAACACACCAGTTGGCAAACATGTGTCTGTGCAAAATAGAGTTCTGAAAGGCTGACTGATTACATTAAGAACGAGAAAGTACAAAATCTAATTCAAAGCATGGTTTATTGTATTACTAAGTCGTCCTCTCAGTGAAAAAATGAGCCACAGGAAAAAAATAACAAGCAGCAGGTGGTCTGATGCCCCTTCTCTCACGGTCCTCCAATTATTGTCTCGACTCTCTATGAGCCAGGCACGCAGCCAGCAGTGCAGCACTACTGCAGTCATGTCGGTAGAAGACTGTGGGCTTCTGCTTCACACCGAGGCGAGTGGGATATCTGCATCTATAATAAAGAGAGCATGAACACCCTGACTCTCACTCCATATAAGACAGTTTAATTGTTTTTCTTCTCGACAAAAATTACAAAACTGAAACACAAATGACTCCTCTGTTTTTATTTTTGATTGATAAGGTGCTTAAAAAACAAGATGAAAAAAATGTCTACTTCCAGAAAAGTGGTTAGAATAATGTGCTTTTTTTAACATTTCTGGTAAAGAATAACTTTATGTGCTTAATCCATGAAAGCTGCAGTGCTGCAGTGGTTAGAACGTGATGGCAGTTTTCTCTTTAATCTGTTTTTATGAAGAACTGACGGTGTAGGCCCTTTACTTCAAAGTCACATTAAAAAATGAAAATAAAATAAAATCACAAACACTGTTTAACAATTTGTAAAAGGTGCTTGCTTGAGATATACAGTACTAAGGAATATGTGTGTAGGAGAAGTAAAGTATAAGCATGGCACTAGTATAAAACACTAAATAGAATCTATAACGTGTTTTTGAAACCGCCAGAAAAAAATGCTTTTCATTGAGAAAAAAATCTTGGATCTCCTACTGCATGTAAATTTAATGTTAAATCGATGAGCCAATTCATATTGAGATAAGTAGTTGTGTAAATACTGTAGGGGTATATCCATCTGTGTGTGTGTGTGTGTGTGTGTGTTTCAATGATTGTGTGTGCATGCCTCAACAATGACAAGCTGAGCTCACTGCACCAATGCCCACACACAAATGGAGTAACAGGCTGCACATAGAGCACCCAGAGGGTCTCATTCTTGCACCAATTAAAGAAAAAGACAGTGCCAATTTTATCCCTCCATCAACACACACACACATACACACACATCATTCTGCAATAGCTCCTCTTTCACTCAGGCAGGTCGATACTGCTATAAGAGAGATTATAAAATCGTCTGACAACAAAGCAATGGAGCCCATCGGCACATAGCTGCACATTAACAAGTCGTCTAAAGCAGCAGCCCAGGTTGTGCATTGATCTGGCAAATAACGCCAACACCCCATTGTGCCAAGCAGCCAGTACAGTACTTCTTTACTACTGTATGGAGGTAATGTGAGTTGTTACATCCCTGTAAAGATACTCATTTTGCCATGTTATGTGCCTATTAGGGAATCAATGTATTCCATTACTTCTTTATCACCATTGCTTTACATGCAGTGAAATGCTTCTTTTGGTGTTGCTTGGATGATATCAAACACCAAGCGCCATCTTCATTCCCCCCTTCACACACACACACACACACACACACACACACACACACACACACACACACACACACACACACACACACACACACACACTTTTCTAATTAAAGTTCCTTTCTCCCTCCAACAAGACAAGGACAAGGAGGAGAGCAACGCTGAAAAGAGTTGTGACCTTCTTGTGGTGTTCTCTGGACAGCCTGACAGGAAGTAGGTGACAAGTGTTGAAAGGGAAGTGAGAAAGGGATACAGTCAGGGGAGAGAGAGGAGCTGAGAGCTGAGGAGTGACAGGAAGAAGGTGAGAGGAAAGAGGAAGGAGGGGAGGGGGAGAGTTGAGAGGGAGGGACACTGAGGATGGAGGCTGTGTGGAGTTGGAAATAAGAGAGACAGTCAAATGATAAAAGAGGAAAAAGGAAAAAGGAAAGAGAGGCCTAGAGGCTCAGAGGTAGTTTGCAGTTTGCAGTTGCTTAATATGAGATCTCCAGAGGCCTCAGAGTTTATAGCTGCAGCCATTTCAATTGGTTTACGGTACATTTAATGCATTACATCATAGGGAATAGTTTATTTTATGT